CAAAAAAAAAGAACACAAAATTGCACCTTCAAAGTGTTTGACTGTTGTGTAAATCAAATGGCAACCCCCCCCCCTTTTAGAAAGCCACTGTATCTGATATACTATTTTGATTCATACCTGTATTTTTTGATTAAGTAACACAGCAGTCTTGTTCAGTGATAAATGATGGCGTATAGCTGTAATCTGCGTGAAAGGGCATGTAAATGCCACCATGCAAAGTTCACCCGAGATTAGTTTTTAAGAGCTGATGTTCACACAGTTCTCTCCAGGGGACTGCCCTCATCCTGAAGTCTGACAGCATGTCTGGTGAAGGCTTCTTTCTGAGATTTCTGGTTTAAAACTTTTCTTCTCATTTGAAAGCTCAAGAATGAAGAATGGGATGAGAGAAAGAGACTCATGAAGGTTTTTAACATTCCTCACATATTTCATAATAGTTACATGCTCAGTGTGTTCAACCAACTCGTCTGGAGAATTCACCCAAACCTCTTTTAGGTTTTTTTCCTCTCTTTGACACCTTGCCAATCCCCTCATTTTAAAAGACAAAAAAGCCTTATCAAACTATTCACACTATCCAAAATACTACTTTATCTCTTGCTGGCGAGACAGCTGATCCCAAATATTTTAATGTCAGAAGGCTCACTGCTAACAGCATTAAGCTGCACACTTGTTTATCGTTTCTGAACTCTCAGAGCATACATCCCCAGTCTTTAAAGCAGCAACATGAGTTTGTTTTTTCCCCCATTAAAAGGCAGAGCTTAGGTGTTGTGAAGCCATAGGGGAGGCAGTCAGTCAGTGCAGCCGTAGTCCGCATGGGGCACTTGGACAGAGCTGTTGCATTAGCAGGCCAATACATCTCTTCAGAGTCTAATGCGAGGTCAGCAGCCAGACTTCAGAGGCCAGGGGACAAGACCAAATACCCCGAGGAGCCCTGAAAAGGTCACTCTAGTGAGAGGATTGCAGGGGCACAAAGCCAGGGCTCTTTACAGGCTGGCAAGTGTGTAGCAGAGATGTGGCAGCTCTCAGGCTAATGGCCACTGGGGACACAGCAACAGCATGTACATTGAGGCTGGAGTTGGATCACAGGATGCGGTAAGGTAATACAGGCCTCTGAAGTGTGCGCCTTAAAATTCAACCACTTTCAAGTGTTTTTGTCATCTCCCTAAGCATCTACATCCGCTTCCTGAATGCCCTTCTACTCAGTAGCTGCTGCAGTTGGTAGGTCACCTGATCAATGTAGCACATTTTCAGTTTTACAGCCAGCTAGAAGTTTAATCAAGGCAAAAGTGGCTGAAACAGTCTCGTTACTGCTTATTCAGCTTCAGTCAGATAAAAACCAACGACCACAGATGGACTTCCTCCCACAAGTACAAAAAACTTTATATTTTTATGCTGCCACTCAAACATGCTGTGCTGTTGCCTAATTTGAACCCAACAATTTCCATTACAACTTGTCTGTACATGAAGTGTAGCTTCCTTTTTGGTCCCACATATTTGGATGCTTTGCATCCGTTTACGGTTGCTTTGAATATTAAAAAAAAAAAAAAAAGCTGTAGTGTTGGATTAACATTTTTAGAGCAGAATTAACCTGCAATTTACAGCTATCTTGTTCCTTAAATTTTATTTACAATTTCCTTGCTTTCATATCTTTTTCCTCTTCTGGAGTTCTGTACATCTTGAACCATATTACTGAAGTAATACTGTCAATATTTTCCAATCACATCTCAACTTATAAGGAATGTTGGGTAAATAATTTAGTGCATCAAGTTTTGTGACACAAAAATACTCTAAATCTAGGTTCACTGGACAGGCATTGTACTGTGACTTCCAAACCAAGTATTACAGATTTAATAACATACACCGGGGTAAATCTATTAAAACCAAGGAAGCATGTTTGGCCAGTCTGTAAGGGCTGCTACAAGTTGTACGTACACACCAACTATCTCCATACTTGACATCGCTTGAAGCACTGAAACTTGTTTTTCTTTTTTGCAGCATAAACAGATAGTCTTAGATAGTACAAGGGATTCATTTTCCCTTCACTAATGTTTTTCCAGTTCCATTAAAATGTTTACATTGTCTAGTCCCATGTGTTTGTGGCATTTATTAAAGGACAGAATCAAATGCCGTCAAAGGAGTTGAAATGTCAAGTTTTCTTATCAGACAACCACACAACACCAGCAACGTAGTGCACTCTCCAAGGACTTGTCTTGTCTAAAGGACTACTACTGAACCTCTGACAACAGCTGCAGCCATTTCTCCACAGAAACCTTTGAAATAAGTCAACAATAGACGACCAAGGTTTCCCCTGGTAGTTTTTTTTATTATTTGCAGTTCTTTACATTTTAGAAAAAGAATCCAAGGATTTTGCCTCCTGTGTGTTTCCGTCTGGCCTCTTCATGGTCCATGATGCCAGCTGAGGTGGTCAACACAATATACCTGTGGAAATGCAAGTGAAAAATGTCACACACTTAAGAAGCTAAATACATCACGGTGCAGGTGTTCCCGATAGCCTCAAAAGAGGCACTGTGTAACACACAACTTTTTTCACATTGATCTTGATTATTAAAAGCCAAATTGGTACCAGGTATGTGGGGAAAAAAAGGTTTGTTAGATATAACCAAAAAGCTGATCACACATCAGCGGCAACAGCACTTCGACTCCAACTGTCCATGTAGCAAGTGTAAAGGAGCAAAATATAGGTAGGCCTCCAAAAATACTTTCAGACAACAAACAGTCACAGGATGATTAACTGCAATGAAAACCCAGTGTACAACCTCCATTTGACAGCAAGTCAGTGTATAAACTGCATGAAGATAACTGTAAAGGAAAAGATGCAGGGCGATGCTTCCTGTCTGCAGGGTCTCCAAGTATGACTGAATTTAGTGGATCTGAGACTGCGGCTGCAACTGTAATGTACAGCTCTGCAGGTAAATAACTTGAACTAACATGCCCGGGGTTGGTTCACCTGTGTGCACATCAAATGGAAAAGCTTTCAAGTATAGTGAGTGCAGACAAATCAAAAGCAATAAAAACAGTGGTGTATGTCTGGTACTAAAGCAATACGCTATACACAGTCCAAAACCCACTGATGCCCAGCTACAGGTACCCAAGTCGATGAACAAAGCTGTGAGACAATTCTTGCTATTTGTTTAGATGATGCAGTGATGAAAACTGGATGTAGTTTTTGTTTTTAGCTAGAAAACTATTACTCTGCTTGACAAAACATGCAAAATTCATATTAAATCTATATCCAATAGCAGCCTAACAGGCAACCTGGAATCAGCTTCAGTCTTTACATGCCATTCCCTCTTCTGTCTGCTGCATCAGCTAACAACAAAAACACCCTTTATAAAATGCACAATTAAGGATTCAAACTGGACTCTGACTGCATGAGGCCATCTATAATCACAAAAAGAAAACCATCATGGGCAACATCATTAAGTGCAAATAGCTGCAATACTAGCGTGGAGTTACACAGGCTGACACTAGTTCAAACTACTCCACAAAAGTACACATTTCAGCAGCTCAGTCATATCCCACAAACACCTGCATAACAAAAGCAGCAATTCAGTGTGTTTAGAAGAACAGAAGCCTGTCATATATATATTAGTGGGTTAAAATATGATAGATAAATGGTTCAATGTCTGTGCTACACATTCTGGTCCATGCACAGTTGCATCATGCCTACTGCCTTTATCAACATGCAGTTACACTTCAGGCAGTTCCACAACTAACACAAAAACTCAATCAGCAAACCCCCTTTCCTCCTTACAGTTTATGAATTTTAGCCTGCAGTGTAATACAGTGACAAAAGCAATGCATGAAATGCCACAGTCACCCGCTCGAAACAAATTAACAGGGAACAGAGAGGAATGACAAGGTGCTACAAAACAAAGACACCTTGTAAAAGGGCATCATTTCTGTCTGCGCTGACAAGCTTATGTGGAAGTTTTATCTTATTCTTCTAGGGCTGGACCTGCTCTACTCTGATGGCACCAGTGTGTGTGTACTGTATTTGTGCCTTCTTTTATAGTCTGTGGTTCATGGATGATGAGCTTGGAAGACAATTCAACCATTTAATCAACTAATCAGTGAAAAAGTTGAGATATTATTTAATAGAACAGTAGTTAGTGGCAGCACTGTATTCTTCTGTATCTGCAGGACAACGATCCTGTGTTTATTAGCAGCTGTAGAAAAGCTGACTTTGTCCAGTCAAATACTCAAGAACCAATGGGCATTAGTCACATAGTGGTACAAAAGATATCTCATTCAAACACAAGACAGCTGTATGACATATTGACATTATGAGCCTCAACACATCTAACTATGAGACTTTTGTTGAGCAGCTTCAAACACAGTGGTGAGCCAAGCAAAAGTCATGGCTGGTAATTTGGGGACTTCTCAAATCACAATTCAGTGATTAAGAGCAAGACAGGAAACCACTGGAACTTTTAAAGTCAGCAAACAATTTCTAGCAGACTAACAATAGACATGCAATGTTTCAGTTTATCAGGTGCACAGTACAAACTCAGCGTATGGGATTCTCACCCGAACTGTCTTGAGGGCAGCAGATTGTTCTGCCACTTCTCCAGGTCCTTGAGCTGGAGATCAAATCGTGGACTGATCACGCCACACTGGAAGAAAAATAGTGGTTTACAGTCCACATTCACACACACTCGAGGTAGCAAACAGACAAAGCTAAAGCTTTAAATTGTAAGATGACCATTATATTCCCCTGAGCCTAGCCAGAAGGCTGCTGCTGCTGCATTTACCACTTTCTAAACCAAATGAAAAGGTGGACCAATTAAAGACAAGGTGACCAAGGGCACTCTAGCAACAACTAGTTTAATAAAAAGTTACTTGCCAACTATCTCAAACATATAGTTAGTATTTACTTGAAATCGTCTTACAAGCCATGACAGGAATAATCAAAGAGGTGACTTTACCTTGTTCAGCCTGCCTGTGAGATTGACGACTATTTTTCCGGCTCTGTGGTCATCAATGATTTCAAACTCACCAATGTAACCTGACGGTACAAATAACAGAACACCACCACAAATTAAAGCGCTTGCACTTTGAATTGATGAGCTACTTGTCTCAGATTTGACTGAGACAAGCTATTACCTTGTCAGCTACATGCTTACCTCACATTTACTAACTAAACACTGTATATCCTACCACTAATTCTAAAACCATATGTTGACTGATGGCTAGCACTGCCGATATTACATGCCCAAATAATCAACATGAACTTAGGTTTTTCAAGATACCCACTCACCACACACAGACACACCAGAAACCCAAACCACTCACCATGCTTCATCATGACGGTTAGGAAGCGCACAATAACCTTGGAGCAGGGCCTAATGAGGACCTGGCGTTTCCCACGCTTCTCAGCATTGTTGATGCATTTAAGAGCATCTGCCAGAACATTCATGCGCACCATGATGCCTGCAGACAGAAAAATAACAGGCATTCAATATGAGAAATGTGAGCTAACTAAAACAAAATAAGCCATGCACTATTTCACAACCTATTCTGGCCAGGACCATTTATCCTGCGCCCCCAAACCAGCTCATCCAAGTCAATGCTTTACAACTTTGGAGAGGTGACCAAGTCTATATTGTCACACTGATAACTGTCCCTCATCGATTAAAATAACTTGAACATTTTATTTCCTTTTAACAACATATTCTGACCCCCTTGGCTTATAAAAGGCAAAATGGAAACGAAGGCGTAAAAGATGAACAGCATACGAGCAGTTAGCATTTAGTAAGTCCAAACGCTTCCACTGTTCACAAATAGATTACTAGTAGCTTAGCTTGGCTAACATTAGCAAGTTACGTTGGGTAACGACTTTTCTGAAACCAGTCTCATTTTACTCGCTGTGGGTAACGGTGTTTGAATTACTGTGCTAACTCCCATCAAAGCATGGTCCTTCATCAGCACAGAAAAGCTACCTAGCCTAGCCGACTTTATTACCAACGCAAAAATCTCTTTACGCGTACACGGTTCAAAACGGCGTCGACTGCGAACGAAATGTGTTGCACGAAGATTTCAACCGACAGCTTACATGTCTTACTTAAATAAAGATTCTAGTATATGGTGCCAAACCAAATACTTTTCAATGCGCCTTGAACGCACCGATTCCCAGGGCCAGGGTGAGTGTCTACTAGATGACACTTAATAGCCCAAATGTGATTAATTCGTTTAGCTAATCAAGACGATAATCATCCCAAATGACTGCTATGAACTTTCGCTTGCAGATGATCATATAAATGAAATACTTAACATCCAGATGCTTCAGATACTCAAAAGATCGACGGTGAAACTGAGAAAAGATATCTTACCGGCTCTGCAATATGGCGGAAAGAGGAAGTAGAAAAATACTGCAATGCAATATGGGAAAAAATCCAAGAGTCGTTGAAGGCGAGATAACCTACACCACCACGAAACTACTGCACTGTGCATCAGCTGGGTCAATATGAAATGACAGAGAGCAGTTGTAATGTGGCATAAATTTGCTCAGTGAGGGTTTTTAAATTTTAAAATGAACTAGCAAGAGAGAGCATATCTCTCCCATATTAGCTTCTCTCCACTGGCTCCCTGTAAAATTCAGAATAGAATTTAAAATCCTTCTCCTAACATACAAAGCCCTTAATGACAAGGCTCCATCGTATCTTAAAGACCTCGTAGAGCCTTATCATCCTAACAGAGCACTTCGCTCTCACAGTGCAGGTTTACTTATGGTTCCTAGAGTCCACAGAAGCAGAATGGGAGGCAGAGCCTTTAGCTATCAAGCTCCTCTCCTATGGAACCAATCCCAGTCTCAGTTCAGTTGGCGGACACCCTCTCTACCTTTAACATTAGACTTAAGACTTTCATTTTTGATAAAGCTTATAGTTAGGGCTGGATCAGGTGACCCTGAGCCTTCCCTTAGTTATGCTGCTATAGGCCTAGGCTGCTAGGGGGCCCCATGATGCTCTGGGTTGCTCTTTTGTTGTAATTTGGCGCTATACAAATAAAATATGATTTGATTTGATTTGATTTTGATTTTGCAAGTGTCAGACAAGAACTGTAGGAAATGTGTGCCAATTTTGCAGTGCTCTTTATTGGTTTGTGTTTAACTCTTAGGTGGATTTGTTGGAAAACAAAAGAATAGATGTTGCCAGCATGATACACAATAAAGCCTCTTTGTTTATACACACATTTTCAGAGCAAAAAGGAAGGTCAATGAGAAGTGTTAAGGTTGTCAAATTTTTAAAAAGCACAGTCTCCAGTGGCAGTCCAGCAACATAATACATTCAAGTCAGCCTTCAGCATTTCACATCCTCCACACTTGTTGTTTCTGCTGGTCTCTGTGTTTCTACTGTAGCAGACTCTAGGGCCACAGTGCTGTTCCACATAGTACATTTGTGCTGTCTGCTTTTTAAATTATTTCTGATTAGCAAAGGTATTTACAATGTATACCCTTTCAAGAGAATATGTATGCCTAACCATGAACTTAGGCTAACATACAACCCAATCTAAGAAAAGTTTAATTAAAAGCCAATATCAAGCATGACTCATGTTTGTTTCTTTCATTAGGTCAGTTGACATGCACACTGATGTCAAGAAAATGAACTGATCTGGATGAGCCATAAAATACAGAGTTCACATTGTCAGAGCCAATTTATGTTTTTATTTTCTGTTTCAACAGTGCAACAACTCAGTCTGGTACTTATTATCATCAATTACAATTGTAATCAAATCCTTATCACTTGAGTCATTATAGTACCTAGATGAAAATAAAACATATAGTTTCAGTAAATCTCTAAATGACTTTCAAAACTAGCACAACATTATTTAAGAGAGCAGGTTTAAAGTTTAAACTGTGTTATATTACTAATGATATGAATTCTTGTAGAATAGTGATTATTTCCTTTATTACACACACACACACACACACACATTTGGTGGGTGTGTGTGTGTGTGTAAAATTGCACAGCATCAGGAGCTACATACTAAGCCACAAAAACACAGTCAGTGTCATTGGAAGTGGAAGTGTGTGTGCAGTTTTTGTATTTTATAATGTAACAATCAGAATCTGAAAAGTCAAAATCATGAATAGCATATGAAAGGCATGACCTTTGGACAGAAAGGATAAGAATAACACATTATTTATTGCTAATTTAAATGCTACAAGCTACAGTATAAGGTGTGCAAATGTTTCTTCTTCTTATAAGTCCTGTCTAAGCAACATGTTTGTACCTCTGACATTTTGCACTTGCCTCTACTCATAAAAAATAACTCAACTCTACTACCATGCTCTGAATTCTCCTGTAGAGTGAACAGGATGAAATGTTGTTGGAGGTTTGTCCAGCCATTTGCTAAAACTCAAAGCTCTTCAACCAGTACAACTGAAAAGCCTTTAGTTTCCACCCACAGCTCTTTCCTCTGGTGTCCAGTAGAGGGGGAGCCAAACCACCCAGAACCAGATATATTGACATACCTACCAGCCAAGTCACCAGTTGAACAGACACATGGAGCATAATGGAATGCTGAGCAACACAAGATGTTGTAACCTGATTTCTGTACTATTTCTATGGTTACACTAAAATTTCAATACATTTATCCCGTTATCAAGCCTTTGCTTGGCTATCTCGCTGGTATCCACTTTTACAGTTAGCCACCATTGCTCACCATGCTGGCTAGAGAATCTGTTTCTCCCTGGGGATCTAGACCCAGCTTCTGGAGGTCAAGGCCCATGGCTACAAGCATCTGGAGCAGGGTGAGCTCCTGATGGGTGGCCTGATCCACCAAGGCTGGGCAGGTGGGGTTGCACTGGGGCCACTGGCAGGTGTCCACCAGGTGAAAAGGACAACCTTTAGCAGGTGTCTTGTTGTTGCGGATTGCCTCCAGATTCCTGTCCCAGCAGTGCAGGGCACGTGCCAGAGAGGTGCCTCTAACTTGGAAACTCATCCAGTTACTAGAAGATCAACAAGGCAGAGAAGTTACAGATTAGAAATAAAGAGAGAGACAATGTTTGAGAATGAAAAGGAAAGTGAATGGAAATGTATTACAAAAGCAAAGGAATAAGTAAGATAAGTAAGAAGACTGTAATTAGCAACTGAGGACCCGGAATCAGCCATGTCATGGTCTAATCACATGGTTTGCACTTTGCTCTGTTCATTATTTTGGTGGAGAAAGTGGTATGTTGCAGAACTGCAACTGCAGAATTATCTACAATGACCTTGGACTTTTTGTTCCTTCCATAAAAAATCTTCACCCTCAAAAAATAGATATAACTTAGCCTGACTCTATAAATCCAATGATGATTGCCCAGACCCACCAATACCCATGTGTGCAGCAGAAGAATGGTTATGTTCAGGGGGTACTGAGGGGTTGGGGAAAGTGCCAAATGGCATTTGGTGACATGAAGAATGTGGCATGATGAACGAGCAGCAGAAACAGCAGCATGAGCTCACTACGCAGAGATGGCCACTGGTAAAAGTGAAATAAAATGAGGAGCAGCAGGCGTAAAGGTGTAACACCACAGGCGTCAAATAGCCATTCTTACCTCTTGGTGATCATTGTGTGCGAGAGGCAGGATGGAGCAAATACAGCCCTGAAAAATATACAAACAGCAGAGAGCAGTCATATCTGGTAGGTGCTTGAGTCCACATTTATCATTTGTACCACCTGAGAAATAACAGGCTTGAATCTGTTGTTACTAATCATTCGGGCAGATAGCTACATGTTATGTTACGCTTCTGAATGAGTTGTTGGGAACTTACGTAACATCTCTGAGAGAGTTCTTCAGCTCAGTGCCCAGGTTCCTTATGTATTGCCACTGCTCTTCAGACAGGCTCTGTCCTCCCATGTATATGTTCTCCACCCTCAGCTGCTCCTCATCAAACAGCCACTGCACGACAAACAGAGGGGCTACAGGGAACACAAAGAGCTCAATATTAAAGCTGCTTAAACCAATATTATTATATTAATAGTGAGTCAGATGATTATGTGTAATGTGAATGGAGTCATGATGAATCCACATAGAGTCATTACCAGACTTTGCAATTCCCCTCAGCTCAACAGAGCTTTATAACTTGTTTTAGCTAATTGCTTTGGTTTTATAGCTGATGACTTTACTGTTCCAGTTAATTCTCACAGCTCTCATTAGTGCTGTGTATAGAGGCAACTGGCAGTTGTCTTTAGCACCCAAGCTCTGATAAACACACTCTCTGAAACCTGCTGATCGACTAAATAAAATATGGATGGCACGACAGCTCCCAGAAGTGACGACACTGTGACTTGATCGCCCCCTGGTGGCTGGTTGCACTATAGGACATAAATCATGCCCCCTCCATGATACTGGAATGGACATGGGCCAAATAAAAAAATTCAAAGTACAAATCAAATACATTTTCCCAGAGGTGATTTATGTGGTTTTTGGTAGATACTGTCATGCTGATGCGTGTACAAGTGGTCATGTTTCTGTATTAGAACTCTCATCTTGAATCTGTGTTGTGTCTCCACATTACCTTGTGTTTGTACTAGCACTGGAGGTCACCAATGTCAGATATTGTGAAATCCCACGTGGGGGCTTTAAGCTTACATGGAGGGCTGTCATAGCTGTCAGATCTACAAAATATCAGCTGTCCAGGAAGTGAGGGTTGTCATATTTCCACATTGCATCACATTTGTGATTCTGAGCAAATTGATTTCATAACTCTCATATTTCTGTGCACATGACATCTAAACAGCTAATGTCAGTTATAAAGTACAGTACAATACTACAACACCATGATAAACCTTAGGCAGCAGCCAGCACTCACAGGTCAAGGTAGAGTATAACTTGTGTCCAAAGAAGCACTGCCACTCCTCCCCTTTCTTATAGAGCTGTCGGCATCTGTCAGGCACAACCCCATTCCACAGCCTGAGAAAATAATACACACCGTTTACACACACAAATTTACTGCTCAGCTGCGTTATCACTTTAAATAACAGTAAAAAGTCAAATGAAACAGCACTGTATAGTAAGAGTTTATTTGTAATTCTACTTCTGACCTGTGACGGTGCCAGAAGACTGAGTCCTTACCTGAGTCCTATCTTGATAGCATCTTCAGGTGAGCAGGAGACAGTCTCAGGGCAGTTAGGTGATGTCTGCTGCTTACTCTCCAGAAACCAGCCAGAATCCACTAGACCACGGACCTGAGCCTCTGCACCAAGCTGCACCAGCTGACTGGCCACCCTCTCAATGTTCAGCAAAACACCTGTCCCGCCAGCACTGCACAGGAGCCAAGAAAATCAATAAATAGTTTGGCTTTGAGAGCAACATTTTCACTATGGCTATCAAAATGACAGCACATGCCAGCTAACAGCAGGGAAGTAAAACTTTAGCAGCCCTGCATTCAGACAGTAGATCCTGTTTTAGGGTTCGAGAGCGTTCCAACAACCATGTTGCTAACCTGGGAGGAATGCTCATCATTACAGGGCAAGGCCCTTTAATAGACATTATGTCACTGTTCACAGCTGACTGTAGATATCTTTATTGTTGATAAGAGGATGCACCAAAAATAGGACTTCTATTGTTTAATGTTAGCATGGAGATGGTCCAGATGGCACAGAGAGATCTTGTTGTTCAAAAGCAGCGGTCAGCATCACGGGGTGAGCAATAAAACAAACTCACCTTGTGCCAGACAGCATAACAACCTTGGCCTGCTTGATGCCTTTGGGGATGAGGTCTTTGATTACCTCACGGATGATCAGGGATCCCATGAAGGTATACTCAGCTGGTAACAAAAAAGACATCAAATAACTGGAAGAAGTACAGACAGAAAAGTTAGATTAGTTATGTTCGCTTATAACAAAGAGAGGCACAGATCTGTCATTGTTAAGAGGACCCTCCCTGACAAAAATGCTGAGGGAGCTGAAGAAACATACTTGTATTTGAATTTCTATCTCTCTCTTTCTCTTTGCCTTGTCGTGGTCTCACAGGAGGGGTTGGGGCAAGCCCAGTACCACTCCATACATCACTGGAACAGTATGGGATGAATCTACAGAATAGGAGACAATCGCTTTTGTTAGACTGAAGCCTGAAGTCCTCATAAAAGTCCTTCTCTCTTCCATAAATATTTGTCAAATATCAGAAATTGGGACATTTGGCCATACCAGACCAATTGTCATTTGTAAGACAACTGAAATGGGTTATTTCTTACTTTAAAGCTGCACTACTCAACATTTATACATTAACAGTGGAAAAAATGACTATATGTAACACAAAAGGGGCCAGTCATGTTGAGAAACTTTCAAAAAATTATCAACTCACACCACAGTTCCCCTCGGCTATGTGGAGCATTTTAGCTTTCTTCAGTGCTTTGTTTTGATTTTACAGCTCACACCTTTGCAGATTTTATTCACTCTCTGTGCTCTCATCAATCTTATTTCCAGCTAGCTATAGTAGGTGGGTTTGTAGGTAGGTAGGTACTTTATTAATCCTCAATGGGGAAAATTCAGTGTTTCAGCAGCAATGGAGAACAAACAACATAACACCATGAGAAACAAGCACCTCACACACATCCTGATAAATAAATTCCAAATACTCAAAAATAGACAGAATCAAGTATTTGAATAATCAAGAACAGAATTTATATATGTGCATATTAAGTAAAGTTTTGAATGTAGGACTTTTACTTGTAACAGAGCATTCTTACACTATGGTATTGCTACATTTACTTAAGTAAACAGTGTCAGTACTTCTTATACCACTGATTGTTGTGTTTACACTTTGTTCCCCTCCCCCAAGTGTCACAAAATGTAATGAATACATTTTTAAGTTAAAAAAAAAAAACAGAAACAACTAGAAGTACAAACACAACTGGTTCCCTGCTGTTGTAATAGGGATTTCTGCCATTAGTTCATATTTTCATGTCCACGGGATTGTGTGTTTAACTTTATCCTGTTGAACAATGATGGGGAGAAGATCAACGCTCACAAACTATGTGCTTGCCATACTTTCAGTAGCTAGAGAATAAAGACACACACTGAAGATATACAGGTACTTACACAATGTTTGCATTATACCAGTGTGGGTTTTCCTCTGCTTGAGAAGACAGTATTCCAGTTCCTGCAAATCCAACAGAGATCAAAGAGATGTGCATTAGTCTCTTTATGTAAAACAAGTAGCATTATGGGAACATGCATGACATGCATTTTAAAACATGGCCAGCTGGCCTACCTCTTTTTGTTTGGGGCCACGCCGATGAGCTCATTAGTCGGCGGATATTTTGGTACCTGGAATCACAGGTCTCTTTGCTGTAGCAGCACCAGCCACCTAAAAATAAAACATACTAACATTAGACATTCACATCAGAGCACAGAGAGGGAGACCCTCATTAGCCCAATGCACAGGCCTGTGAGGAATGAAGAGGGAAAGGAATGCACCTGTAGCCTGGTTTGCAAACAAGACATTCAAATTGACATTCACTCAGAGTTAGACAAAAAATATGAAGGATTTCTTTAATTTACAAACTGTCAGCACCTGATTTGCTGACTTACTGTCAGCTTATGCAAACTGGTTTCTCTTACAACTGCAGCAAAAGAACAATATTTAATCTGACTTGATCAAATTCAGCAAAACCAATTATTTAGGCTCTACCAATCAAAGAAATACGCTCAGAAATCCCGATGTCATTTCAGGCAGGTAAAATATTTGTGTTTGGGAAATCCAATGCACACCTCTTCCATGATCCCCAAAATTAACAGTCAAGTCTGAGGACAATTCAAAAAAATTCCCCTCATCCTAAACCTGTCAAAAGTGACAGGCAGCAACTGAAAAAGCAGAAAAGCAGAAGATGACCAAACAAGATAACTTACATTACAATTCCAATAGGTGCATCACGTCACAACAAGCTGACCTTTGGGGACCAAATTAACCAGTTGGGTTTTTAAATACTTACCCTCCAGAAATAACAGCCAGCGGCGGCTTCCTCTGAACTCCTTTAGGTAAAACCTAAAGAACCACAAATAAACGAGAAGGAGGAAATAAAGCAGCCATGTGTAGCTTCTGAAATCACTGTATTAATTAGCAAAAAGATAGCAAATGCAAGCATTTAGTTTTAGGAAAACAAGTGAGAGAAGTATGACATGCAGACATCTCACCCAGCTGCTGTTCTATCGTTACATGTAACTTGGGTGTTCTTGAGGAAGTGCAGCCTCATATCATCTGCCTGTGGTCTGGCTGCTCGAGCTCTTGCAGCTCCATCCCCTCCTGCTTCAGCTGTGTCACCAGCACCTCTGGTGTTTCCAGGGCTTCCAGACCCTCTAGTGCTTCCAGGAGTAAGATCAGCCACAGGGGATGTCTGAGCAGCATCACCTCCTTGGTTCCCACCAGACTTCTTGGTGGACTTGCCACTAGCTTTCACATTACGGTTGTTCTGACACCAGATTCCCCCGAGCAAAAGCAAGAAAGCAACTTGTCCCAGTATCTTCATATCTGAGGCAACATGAGAAACAAGATACATGGAATGCATTATTACTGGCTCTAAATCTGGCTTTATTTATGCATATGCAAAACCTGAAAAATCAGTGTTACGATGACCAGATCTTCTGCATCTTCTAATTTCATGGTCAATACCTTGTTGCCTGAATTAAATCCAACAATTTTTGACCTGGAAATTAATGTACCTCTCTAAGAAGAATCACCTTTGAAGACTGTTGTTGAGGCACCCCAGGGGTCAGCCAGATAATCGGTGCTGCTGAGGAGAGAGTGAGAAGATCAGAGCACAGTGACCAGGTGTGAGAGGAGGATGCCAGTCGTGAGTAGTGATGAAGCCTTGATCAGGTTTTGATGAAGCCTGCAAATCAGCGGTGAGCTTTATAGTGCCACCATATGGATCAGATTTCCTCTTGTTTTCTCTCGCAGCTCCTGCCAGGCCCTGTGATAAAATGCTGATGACACGCAATGAGGGGAGTTACTGGACAACCAGTGGCGAGGAGAAAAAATAACACACGCGCCTCTTCAACATATTTCACGTTGTTGCACACACCCTGCACTTTCCCGTTTGACCATGGCTCAAGCTCTCCTTAACCCCATCCCCTCTTTTCTTCTCCCTCCCACCATCCACCTCTGATTGCAAGTGTTTTGATCTACATGGTCAGCATAACTGCATATAAACTTTGCATGGTATGTGACCCAGAGGTCACTGGAGCACGCACCTCAAACACGTTCCGACATAGGAATGAATAGTAGAGTAAGGTTCTTGCATTGTCAGCAATTTGGCTGTCACTCTCAAGGCACAGGTGGTGGACACTACTAAGTTGTGGCACCAAGCACATTGCACATGGTTGTAAAATTTCTTAAACAAGTCTCCATATTATGTGCCAATAACAGCTCTTTCTTCCCTAACCACCTTTATGTGTTGTTCATCTGGAGAACATTCAAAGAAGTGCAGGAGTTTGAGTCAGTATTTGATAAATCCCAATAAAAAACTATAGGATTATTTCCATTTTTTTGTTTGTTTGTTTTTGCTATTTGTTACTTCATACAGTACACAGTGATTGAACTATAAAGCAGATCTTCTTGGATCTCATATAATAAAATTTGTATTATTCTACTACAGGAGAAGAAGCGAAAATGACAAAGTCATCCCCTGCCCCAAAAAACTGAATCTGAATGAAAACTCTGATCTGAATCTTGCCTTATAATTGTCATTATGCTATTTTTAATGTGTTGCTTAGTTGTTTAATGCTGAGAAATTACCGTTCTCCTGTAATGAGCAAAGCTTGTGCATATAAAACCAAATCCAAACTGCTCCTTGAATCCAGAGATATTAGATCACAGCTTAAGGTGGATTGCTGAAACTGTTTTAGATTTTGAGGATAATTTCAGGCAACAGACAAACACTACTTCCACTCCCAAGCTCTTGGATCCCATTTACCATTCTAGTCTTAGATTCATCACTGGAGATAAAAACTGTAGTACTCCAAATAGTGATTTTTAATTATATATACAGATAGATTAGTTAAACAGATTAAATAATATGCAGGTTAAAACATTTCTATCCTGCAGGTTGAAGGGTTTCGTGCAGTGTGTGGTAAGATGTCTTTACCTACAGATGCATTCCCCTCCAGATTGGCCTCTGCAGTTTCCTGGATGATAGGTTAGGTTAGTTTGCCTTCGGTGAAGAAAGAGACAGAGTATTTGAAACCGATCTGTGACTATCCCCCCCGGGATGACTGTAGGGTGACGTACCACCTATCACTGAAGGATCATGAGCCCCAGGGCTCTAAAATTCTCATCAATGAAATGCACACCATCCTGACATGTCAATCACAGCAAATAATGATTGCTCGGGGGGCCAGAGGCTGTCGGGGCTGAAAGGACTGCAGGGTGCAGGCCGCCTTGAAAACAGAAGAAAAGAATGAATACATTATAATGAAGGCAATAAACCCTCAATTTACCCCTGGGAGACTGAACGCACTGACAACAGAAGACCGACTCTACATTCAAGCTTGAAATACATAACAGATGAAGGGCCATACAATAGTTTCAGTTTTAAAGGCACATATAAAAACATTATGATTCGGTCAAAGCTGAAATGTAAAATGGTGTCAACACAGCTGTCTTTATTCTGGATGTATTGAGAATGATCTCTCTTGGCAAAAGCTTATTGTACACTGTCTGCAATAATCACCAAACTGTTTAAAGACTTATAAACAAGGCAGACAGATATATCAAGTTTTGTCTTATTGCTTTGGCAGAAAAAATGGTATTTCTGTCTCATTTTCAAGCATTTCATGCTATTTTAGCTACTTTCAACTGTGGCCAGAAAGAAAACAAAGCTACTCAAAAATATGTGCAATCGTATGCACTTACGTGCAATAAAAATCTACCCTAAGGACATCACTATACTGAATTTGATCTACCGAGCTGAACCATCCTTCATTCTTTCAGTTGTCTTGAAGAATGCACACTACCATCTGTCTTCCCAGAAATCAATGCAACAATCTGTTTAACAGATACCTCAAATAGCTGAAAAGCGAAAGAAGCTGCTGTAAATCTATCACCATTTCACAGAATGTCACGAACAGACAGATGGCATTGCTGCTATTCTGTTTTTCTTTGATATCAGATTGGACAGAATGATACGTTTTTCACAACAGGCTTCTCAACTGTGCATTACAATGAATGCGTGTTCTCTAGTGATTCAGAAACTCTAATGGGTTCTCTTAACATGTACATACACAGTCACGTACCACTACACAAATTCACACAAAGTGAGGCCTGATGAAGTTCTGGAAACTATTACATTCGTCTCTTTACCTTTGAAAAACAAACAGTTTGCATGATCCATAAGGGGCTCGTGAGACATGCTGAACTTCAGCAACAGCTTGACCCCTTGTGCAGCACAGGAGGCATTCTTTCTCCCCTTGTGTTGTTATTTTTCACAGCCAGCCTCCAAGGTCAGGACACCTAAAGCCTGGGTGGTCCGGGCACTTTGTCTGCTGAGCATGCGTGTCATCACCAGCCTCAAGAGCTGAGGGCCCCAGGCGCAAGCTAGAACATTTGTCAGCTGATAGCTTCAAAGAACAACGATCCAGAGAGAGTAGTCATATGCTGGATTCTTATGCCCGCATCACTGTGCAGAAAGGTTGAGACCCACAAGTTACAACTCCACGATCTAACCACATGAACAACAGATCCAAACCACAGAGTGGTCCAACAGCAAACTCTGGAGATGAATCAAAACACCTACTATAAGTTATATCAAGAATGAAACAACAAAACCTTCAACTAAGGTTATAAGTAAACACCACTGTTACAGTATGCCACGCAGCTCCTACTGCCATGTTGCGTGTAATTTGACAATCTGAGACAGCATCACTCTGAATCTATGTTGTCACCAACAGTGGAGGGCACAGCTGGGGAAAGAGGCCCATGATTAACATGAGCATGAGTGGCACCTTTACAAGCCACATGAAAATAAGCCTCAGGCGAGAGTTATGACACCTGGCAAGAGTAGCGCTGCCAGAGCACTCCATTCAATCAGTGAGGACGACAGACGGGAGATCTTAGCAGGATCGGTGTAAAGTGCTGGGCCATTGCAGGAGACAAGCAGGTGGGGTGGACAAAACAATCCCTACAACCAGGTGTTAAGAGGCCTTGCGTGGTAACCTTCTGCAAACAGGCAATGCATCAGTATGATAAATGGAGGAGGGGTTGATGGCAGGGATACAAAGTATTGGATTCAGGAGGGGTGGGGAGGTTGATGTAACAGGCATAGAAAAGGATAGCTGACAAGTGAGTAAGTTCTGTGCACTGTGAGAAGCTGCAGCTCATTCTGCTGAGCCCATCACAACCAACTATGCGTTCTGTCACCTTCCTGGCGTGCAGGCAAAATATGTTTAGCCTCGATTGTGAACATGCCACAACCACAATCAGTCAAAGATTTATATAAAAGAATAAAAGGTCAAATTAATGACATAAGATGAATGACATCATCATATTAGAATGTGTAAATCTGCAAATTATGCTAATTTGAACCCCCCCCCCCC